TATTTTGTCAGTTGTTAGGGTGGCTTTTAAAGTCACTCTAAATACATGATTCTATCTTAGACAAAACTATTTGATATAGGGCACAGTAATATAGTATTAGTTAACAGATTACGTTGAGATGTGTGAATACACTCGGGTGTTTAGCTTTTTTCGTTAATACAGGAGACATCACTGTCTTACACATGGAATTAAAAACAAGCAAAATTAACTCCAATCCCCAACCACATTCTCAACATATCATGTTTATCAAGCGAATCATCATCACCACCTACCTGACTACTCATCTAGTATAAAAGTAAATAATAAATTGTCATTAAACACAGACAAACAACCTATACTTAGCCAGTCACGAGCGCTTTTAAAGGCTACCCTAGGAAAGATTGAAATAACCAATCAAGTTTCTTTCATTTCCTTTCCAAAAACAGACTCACAGAATAGAAAAGTATAGTTGGTTATCTCAGTTGCTGATGTGATGACCAATTGGGCTCCAATATTTTACTAACAAAAAACTTTCCTAGGTAGAATACGAAAACCTGGTTCGTTAGTTTACTGGTTGTCAAGGTGGCTTTTAGAATTCAACCTTAGAGTCATATACACAATGATCCACAATCATCTGTCTGTATTCTCATCACTATATGATGATAGTAACACGATTAAAGGTCAGCCTAGCAACTGCTCAAATGATCAATCAGGTTTGGATATTTCGCCTTGAAAGGTAATTTTTTTTCATAAAATAAAGGAATTGTAATTGACTATCTCATCACTTGCTAGAGTGAGCTTTAAAGTCACTTCGATTGAAGCGAACACACTACAACTCCATTGGATTCATGATTTACAAACGTACACTCAATGCGTAGTATCCTAATTCTTTATTTACATTACTGAATATATAAAAATTACTTTAGCTTGGGTCACTGAATAGCACATGAAATTTAACAACATTGAGTTGCACTAATTATATTACTAATATTATAGAGAAAGAATACTCCTATGATTCCGTACACTTAATTTTCATTGTCTACAAAAGTGCACATAACTTCCATGTTATCTTTGATTTCTTCTATCTCTTCAGCTCTCGATAATGATTTCGGTTTACGAAATAGCTTCCATGGTCTGCCAAAACCACACACCAAACTACACATTAGGACTTCTAATATCCGCACCCATCGTTAATGCAGGCAGTAAACCTCAGCAGACAAAAATCTGTCATCTCGGGTCATGGATATGTGGTGTCCTTGAAAGAGACGTGAACGCAACCTAAGAGCACTTACCCACTTAACCTTACTTGGCTAATTTGAAGAATGGTGTAGAATAAACCTTAACATGTCTGGAGATGCAATAGCCAGTTATCATTGTTAGACTCTAAGGCAAAAAATGCCCAAGTGACAATTCTTTGTGTGCTGTCCAACTGAATGATAAAGTGACAACCAGAAAGAATAGTGAGACTTACCACTGTCTCATCGTAATCTTAGCTTAGACACCAACTTGTATGCACTTCGGATAAAGTGTAGATAAAACCCTACAGAAAACTGACAAATCTCCAAATGAAAGTCAAACATTCAAATGTGGTTGTCGTTGCAGGTGATTTCAATTCAAAGGTGACAGATAAAGTCAGGCAGGAAAGAAGTGTGGTGATCCAGTTGCAATTCTAGCTGAAGTAACAAATAGTGGTGATCACCAGCTACAACTGTACTCAGAAAACCTCCCATTTTTTTGCCAGCACGAGCTTATGATATAAAAAGAGGCATTATTGGGTGTGGCAACCACGGATCTCAACTCCAGGACAGACGCAGATAAACTATATTGTTACCAGTCATAGCTGGAGAGGTTTGGTGGAAGATTAATGCTTCTTCTGCAGCTAGTTCTTGGACAGTGATCAAATGTTGGTTTGAGCACGCGTATGCCTACTCTCTAATGGCTGCAGGAAAACTACAAAGTGCAGCTTGACAATGATTAAGCAACGGAGGCCATTTCCGACGAGGAACTTGCTAGAGATTTGTCAAACTAGGACAATATCACTCATCTTAAATAAGTCTGACGCCAACACCAGTCTCCTGACGAAACAGCGTTAAAGACCAAAGATCACACTAAGGAAATGGTTAGAAAGGCTAAATACATTTCGTCAACTCAACTAGTGTATACGCGTGAACTCTGTCCCGTAGGATTTCAGTAAAATCAGAAGTGGTAGCAACTGAAGTATAGTTCAACAAAGAGTCTACGCAAAACAGTGAGCAGTGTTGGGTAGAGGAGGCTTAAGAGATGGAAAAGTTTGAGGTGATAGGTAACAACAGACAGTAAGTGAAAATTATGAAGGTAACTGGGGAGGAAGTATAGGCTTGCAGTTCACTCCTCGGCGAATGACTGCAACGTTGATTGGAGCACTTTAAGGAACAACTGTCCCGTTTCCTTCCATGCATTTGCATTCTGGATTCAACAAGAAGAAAAGGTCCTTAGCTCTTTCCGAAGTTGAGAAGGCTATAATTAACCTGAAATGAGGAAGGGCAGCAACAGGTGATGTACTTGCACCAGAGTTGTTTAAGAACGATATTAGTAGATTATTGGCCAGGCTCACTGTGGTGTTACCTAGCGCATGGAAATCAGATATGATCCCTTCTGATTCATCTCAACCAGTGATTATCCAGGTTATTAAGAAAAGAGACAAACCCTTATGTGATAACCTCAGACAAGCAGACAAGCATTATGCATAAGACCATAGGTTCTACAGTCATTAAGCGACTAAGTGAAGCTGTGGAATACCAAAACAAAGAGGTTTAATGACAGTTCATATTACTGAAAAGTACATTAGGTAAGTACATCATCGAAATGAAGGCTCTTTATTAGAACATCTATGGATGTATCAGAGCTTATGGTGAGTTTTCAGGTGAGCTGTGTACATCAAGCGATGTCCCTCAAGAATGTTCACTCTCTCCATTTGTATTTAGCTCTATTATAGATATGATTATCGTAGTCTTCTTATTATCCTTTGATACAAATGTGATTGGTCACATCCTACAAGATCATATAGATGACATTTCCGTTAGGTAAAGATGTTGAACAGATGGAGAATCTTCACACCCCCTAGAATAACACTTTCAGATTGCTTAGAATGCATTTCCAACTATCCAGATGCAATTATCTCCTCCAGAATTACTGTTCATAGGTGTATTTTCTTGCAGAAGGGAGTAAAACTGCTGACTACTTCACTTAATAAGCAGTCGAATCAATACCGATGGGTCAGTGAGCAATAAAATTTCTGCACGAATACAAATGGTTCAGTTAGCGTACATCAACTTACGCCATCTATGACGTTGTCAGAATATCGATTTGTCTATTAAAGATCAAGTGTATTGCGTTGCAGTTTGCCTTGTTCTACTAAATGGCTGCTTAAATAGCCTACTAGATTTCATTGTTTTGACTGGGATTCCTAAATTTTATAAAATCAACAAACGTATTAAAATTTTTCAGTAGTTGTTAACGTAGTTATTCACAGTAACTTTGTGATCGCTTTAAGGCCGTTTAGGTGATGCTGTAGATTCAAAATTATGACCGGAACTGGCTGGCTGGCTGACTGACTGGCTTCAAGAAAAACAAATCATATGCACATCAAATTGCAACGCAACACAACGCCACACATCATCACAAAACAAACTATACAATGATAGTCAACTCTCTACCTCAACAACATCGATTTCGAAAAGGCATTCGACAACGTCCACAAACAAGTAATTTGCCACATGCTACTTCAACACTACACACTGAGTGACACAAACCCCTATCAACATCATTCAACAACAGTTATATCCTATATGATGTGATTCACAATACAATGGAAATCTCAGTGATGCCTTCGAAGTGAATTGAAGTGAAGTGAAGTGAGGTGAAGTGAAGACAGGTTGACAGGTAAGACAAGGTTGCCGCCTACTATCAACCATGACCCTCCTGATTGTGGTCGACTCGACTCGACTCGACTCGACTTGATGGGATCATGTAAGAAATTGTGAGTAGGTGTGAGAAGATGGGCATATGCTGGCTATTCGACCAATGAGAATACCCTAAAACATTTGGATTTCGACCACGATATATTTTGTGTCTAATGTCTTGTGTGGCACAAACTCGAAGATGTACAGGTGAAAAGTAGCAAGTTGACAGGCGAATCAGTGAAGGAGCAGCCAAGGAAGAGGGAACTTCCTTCAGGTGAATGTAGAGAACAACTACACCAACAAGCACTGATCATCATGAATTTGAGAAATGTGAAGGAAGTCGTCTCTTTCACCTACCTACACACCTAGGAGGTAGTATCATTTGAAATGTAGGTGGTGTACGTCAAAGGCAGGATCGAAAAGACAGTAAGACATGCCTTCCTTCATTAATCTGAAATCAGTGTGGAGATCTACTACACTGCACTACACTCAGCATGTGGAAGAATTTCCGGGTTTTCAATACGATTTCAGTCAAGTTAGCGCTTCTATGTAGTGGTTTAAAGACTTGGCACATTACGGAAAATATTTCCAGCCATCTGCAAGAAATACATGAACAGCTATCGCCTACACTCACTGGATATTGAAGATATGGATTAGATGGTCAGAAAGAATAAGCAAGGAGGAACTTTAGTTGGTAACGAACCAAGTAACCAAGAAGTTATAGTCCAAAGGATATACCAAAGAAGAAATCGGATATGTATTGAATTTGACATATACTAAGATGATCGTTTGTGGACATCACGTTTGAGGCCAGGCAGTGGAGTGGAACCGGTATGGTAAACGACAAGTTAAGGGTCCCAGTGTGACATGGATGAGATCATGTGGGGATGAAGTGAAAGCTTGTGGAGATTCTTGGAGCCAGGTTGGAAGAGAGTGAAATGGTGACGTGCTACTGAAGCTTTATGTTCCACTAAGAAGTTAAGAGACAAATAATGATAAAAAGAATCAATTAATAACCTGACTTGAATAATATGAATGGAAGTTCAGATATTAATAACTACAATTTAAACGTTTGCTTACTTTAAAGATTTATATATGTCCATAATTTTTGCCTCAGTTTTTGGAGTTATATTAGCAAACATTTTAAGGTCAGCTAACGAACCTTCAGGTCCTAAATATTCTGACAAGATATTATAATCGCCTATTTCAGCTGAAATAAATGAAATGAAAATTTTTTATTTTGATTAAAATATAGAAGACATTTTCTTGTATTAAATAAACTCTAATAAATGGGACAAAGTTTCGTTTAACAAATGGTAAGTGTTTTTAAAACCATAGAATAACAAAAATCTGTAAGGTAGAACATTGTTTTTTCTTCAATAAACATTCTTATCAGGTTATATAATGATAAGATACATGTGTATTGTCTGTAAAAACGAGACAAGTTTGATACGAATACATTTATTGCGACATCGTCAGCTATTTGTTGAATAAATGTTAGTGAGCTACACTCTCGGTTTTGTATTTAGAACACGATATATATATATATATATATATATATATATATATATTATTATTTATTATTAGTCCCTTGGGTTCCTAGTGGAACATAGGGCTTCAGTAGCACGCCTCCAGTGACCTCTGTTCTCTGAGATCTTTTGAACCTGGTTCCACGACAGCCCAGAAGCTCTCATTTCCTCCTCGCATGACCTCCTCCATATCACCCTCGGACGTCCAACTCGTCGCTTCCCATGGGGATTCCACTCGAGGGCCTGACGCGTGATGTCCTCAGTCGGCCTTCTCAGTGCATGCCCAATCCATCTCCACTTCTTCCTGCATATTTGTTGCGTGATAGGTTCTTGGTTGGTTCGTCCCCACAGTTCCTTGTTGCTTATTCTTTCTGGCCATCTGATCTTCAGCAGCGAGCGTAAGCAGTTGTTGATGAATGTCTGTAGTTTATTGGAAATGCCTTTCGTGACGCGCCAAGTCTCTGAGCCATACAAGAGCACTGACTTGACGTTGGTGTTGAAAATCCGTATCTTGTTCCACATGCTGAGTGTAGAAGATCTCCACACTGGTTTCAGGCTAATGAAGGCCTGTCTTGCTTTTCCGATTCTGACTTTGACGTCCTCGTCCGTCCCGCCTGTAGTTGAAACAGTGCTTCCTAGATAAGTGAAGGAGGTTACTTCCTTCAAGTTTCTCCCGTTGACGGTGATTGGAGTTTGTTGTTGTTGTTGATGGTGGTGGTGCGGTATCTTCATCATCTCTGTCTTCTCTATATTCACCTGAAGTCCCGTCTTCGCTGCCTCTTCTGTCAACTTGTTAGTTTTTGCCTGCAGATCTTCAAGTTTATGTGACATTAGGCATAAGTCATCGCCGAAATCCAAGTCTTCTAGGTTCTTTTCCGTCGTCCAGTGTATCCCCCTCTTCTCGCTGCCTACTGTTTGCTGCATGATCCAGTCCACCACAATAAGGAATATCATGGGGGGTAGTAGGCAACCTTGTTTCACTCCTGTCTTCACTTCAAAGGCATCACTGAGCTTCCCATATATATATATATATATATATATATATATATATATATATATATATATATATATATATATATATATTATTGAATGTTTTATTAGGATGTATATGATCCCATGTGTTTATCAGATGTCCAAGGAAAGAACCTTTCACCATTTTACTTTGTAATGTGCAGCTGCTTCAATGTCAACCAGAATTGAATTCATGAATTTAATTTTCGACAATTCCTAGAAACTTGGCATTCAGATCAGTCAGTCAGTCGTCAATCAGCAATCAATAGATATATAGACATACACCCAATCTATCAACTAATATGAAAAATGATACACGACAGAAAGGTGAAAGGTCAAGCAGAGGAACAGTTATCAGAAAACTCTATGCAGTCAGTCTATGACACAACAATCAAAGGAAACAACCAATCATGGACCACATCGTCAGAGCAAGCTACTAAATCATTCATGGAGAGATATTTATAGCTGACTTCATAGTGAAGTTAGTGGTGATGATGTCACTGTGTAGAAAGACGATGAAATCTTCTCGACGATTAAACAACCCAGCTGAGAGAACACAATACAACCAAGACTATCCCCATCTGAGCTACAAATATTCTGCATTATTTCACACCTAAAATTATTAATTATGCAGTTAATAGTATTCATTATTTTATAGTGTGGAAAATCGTCAGCGACAGCGACAACGATAACACAATATGTAAATCAATGGTGTATAATGAACTAACTAACCTTGTAGTATACATGCAGCAAGTACATGCATTTCTAAATTTCTTCCAATCAATCTTCCACTATGAAGATCACGTCTCAATTGAAGATAAAGTAGATATCTTTATTTCATGTTGATGATTATATTGTATTGTGTTATTGTTCATATAAATGTAGAGATAGGCATAAAATAGGAATAAAATTAAAATAATGATTAGTAATATTATATATGGGATCATCATGAAGATTAACAATGAACGTGATATTAGTGCGCAACGGTTCAACTTGTTATACACTTCACATTATATCAGCATATCAAGTAACATGGTGATGAAACGGAAGATGAAGAAGAAGGTAGTAAGACTAGATGAAGGGAGAATGAGAAGAAGAGGCAATCGAGTATAGTGGTTAAGATGAAGATAATGTGTAGGGATACATCTAAGCCACTGACATCGGTTCTTATTCGTAGTATCACCTAAAGTCAGTCTCCAACCGCTGGTTTCTCTTGTCCCACCGACCCCAATCGGCTAGTCTACATCGCTTCCTATCTAGCTCAAACCAACAGTCAAGGACTTAATGTATGCACTGGCCACCCCAACTCCTGTTTTCAGCCTGGACCTGCTTCGGTGACGAGGAAGACGGCGGCTAGGCATACATAATGCATGTCCTAGTCGTGTCAGTCAATAAAGGTTCATGACGTCATCAACTGACTCTTCTTTTCTCCCTAAAACTCTACACCTGACTTCTCTGTTACTAACATGGTGACACCACGAAACACGGCCTTTGCTACTAAGGCAGAGGTCGTCAAACACCTGAAGTCTTCTCATATCTTCTACCTTTAATGCCCATGTTTCATAGCTACAAAGTAGAAGTGAACGGACTACAGAACAGTACACTATACCCTGAATAGACAATTGGATATCGCAGCGGTGTCACAGATGGCGCAACCTGACATAAGCTAATCGAGCCTTTTGTATCCGTATAGAGATTTCGTCGGCCACTGACCAACGTACCAGGGCTGATCCAGCTTCCCATGTAAGTGACGTGTTCAACGCACTCCGGTCCTGGTGGTCGGGCTCGTATATCACGATGACCCAAATAGTTATGCAAGTGGAACGCTTGCTCCCTTGAGGTCCGCATAGTGATTAGACAAAAAGCAGTTACCCTTACCTTTAACATGTGCTTAAAAAATGAAGTGATGCATTGTGATGGCTCAGATCAGTCATCATTGGTTAGTAGTGACCCAAAACCACTGGACATATGTCCGACCACACCCTCCGTAATACAGACTAAGTTTCTTGGCATCAAAAAGGCCTTATATAACTGGCTTCTAGCAGATATCCCGTAGGCTCCATGATCACACACTGACCCTTCTTTTTCAGGTACATAATGAAGACCTAGCCTTCTAAGGTGAGGGCAGCATTGAAGTGTTAATCGCCCTCACAACTTCATCAGCGTTCATTTGGTGGATACATAGTTGAAACAGTCTGTACATAAATGTAAATTCAAATATCATCTCTAAACTTCAAACCGAGTTCACTGTCTGAGAGTTTACTGAAACTACTTGGTTATCGACAACTCAGTAGATGAAGCTGAGCTTGAGGACATGATCCACTGAATGTAAACTACCCAACTAACCAGATCAACGAATCACAGCTCCACCACTCAAAAAGCGAATGAAATCAGTCCAAATTGTCTGATTGGTTCAGGCTGTCTCACGTGAGTTGAAAACCCTGACTTGAAAGTAAATCATACGTTTTAAAACTAATATAATTGAATCCTATATTAGATTTGTTTATTTGATTGATATAACATATAATGACACAATATTACCTATTTACTTGATAACGTTTTGACCAGAAGTTATCACTTAATGATGGATAGTGGTATGCAGGATGTACATTTCGTCCTATTTGGGACTCATCAGCTGGATGTACCTGCTTCCTAGTGAGTGATATTCCCACAGGGATTTGCACTCGGGAGCGATCGCTTCAAACGCCACCACGTTATCCACTACACCACATCCAGCTGATGAGTCCCAAATAGGATGAAATGCGCATCCTGGATTTCACTGCTAGCCATAATACACCATTAACATAATTAGAACGCTGGCAATATCGAGACATCCACACAGGAGCCCATATGCTAATAGAGACCGATCAATTCGGTCCAATCAACGACAGTATGATATAAAAACAATTATACAGAAGTTATCACTGTTCATTAGTAGATCAGTGTCATAATGTCACTTCTGATATCTGATTGTCACAGTCCTATCTACCTACCTCATATTCTTCATTTCTATTGGCTGTAAAATTTTCCATATCTCTTGTATAAATGGTGTTGCATTATTTCTATTATATGTGTATAGTGTTGATTCGAAGAACAAAGACTCAATAATCAATCTCTGTCTCTCCCCAGCTAATTATACTCGACTTAAGTACATTGGTTTTGTCCCACCCTATTATGTGGTTATGTGTTGTTAATGCATACATTGTAATAGCCAAGTTTTTTCGAGATTATTGATCTTATTCGTGTGTATCATTCTATGTATACTTGACCTGGCTCACAGTTATTACATAGAATTTGATAGATTAACAGTAATACGAATAAGAATAATAACGATAACTTAAGTAGAAAGGAGTTCACAGCCTCCATCATGTTACCCTGTGAGGAAGGTATATCAGAAACCTACAAATCCACTAAGAGAAAACCTTCGTCAGCTGATTTAAGGATCCGATGGAACCAATTAAGTAAATAATCTAATCAGTCAGCAGGGGAGTTGTTTTCTAGTCATGATCAGATCATAATCTATACATGCGCTGACATGAGAACCTAATTGGAGAAATTCGACCTTATACAAGAAATCTGATTGGTTCATTTATAGCTTCACTTTTCGAGAGTTTTGTGAATACATATATGTCATGTATTTGTCTCATAAAAGTTGTAGTTGTTCTTGCAGTCACAGGTCGTCCTTGTCATCTAGTTTTCGCTGCTCAGTGAAGCAGAAGGTAGTGAGGGAGGTCAGTTGTAAAAGTATTCGGTTGAGGTATCTATTGAATCTCAGTATTATTATACCCACACCTGAAACCCCACTCGATCACAACAATAACAGAACATTTTATGAACTTAGACAACTCAGCAGGTTTGAGAACTCCTTAAAATACTCTATGGGATTCGAACAACCCACCAAAAGTAAATGAAATCAAGGCATTTGGAAATAACTGACTAGAAGTTCCAACCAACGCTGTGTCCAAAATAGGTACCTTCAACCTTTATCTTTGTCATGTTCATCATAAAACTCTGACTGTCCTAGCTAGATAAATCTTATATTACGTAGTTAGGGTTTTTATTCTCTTAGTCCCTTGTCTATTTTTCCAGTCTTAATACTCATTTGTATTACGCAACCTCCTTTTACTAATCAATATATATTGACCCCAAAACGGAAATAATTCTGAAATGATTTACACACTGTAACGTAGATATTCACAAATGCTCAACTTAGCATTTATACTGGGTGATGATTGAAGGTGAAATAAAAATTTGAATCGTTACCAGATTCGAACCAGTGAACACAAGGTTTCCTGTCCAATACTCTACTAACTGAACCTAGCTACAAAGTCTAACTACTGACCAGATTCTTATTTTAATTCAATCACTAAGGTAGGCCTAGTTAAATGACTAAGTGAGTGAGCGAAAAGTTTTCTAGTAGATCGGAAAATCTGCGACAATGAAATTAGACACATCAAGAATACCCTACATCTCAATAATTACCCACCAAAATCTATAAATAAATTTATAAGAAATCGGAAGAAAAATATTACCAGTGGTAGTAGTAGTAGTAATACAGGTGCTATTAATAATAATCCCACTACTAGTAGTAATAATGGCGACAAGGTTAAGAGAGAATTCAATGCCTCTCCTGTATTACCATACAAGGAAGGCACCTCACAAGCATTACGAAGAATTCTCAATAAGGCTGACTGGGATTAAAGTGGCATTCAAACCAACAAACTTACTTAGAAACAAGCTTTGTAGGTTAAAAGATCCTATCGATGCAATTAAGCAAAATAATCTGGTTTACCAGACAAATCCCTTCCAATGATTGTGAGGTGAAAAGTACATAGGTCAAACCAGTCGACCAGGGTCAACAAGAATAACAGAGCACAAAATCTTAGCTACATGAAGATTAGTAGATCTTAATAAGATAAGAAATGTAGAGAGAAGCTCGACTGTAGCTCTGCATGCGATGACACACAATCACACAGTAGGGTTGGATAGGTCGACAGCGTTGAAAACTAACTAAGTTGGGTTGATGGAGGGATAGATTGATAACCGAGTGAATCTTCGTTTATCAGATCAACACCAAATACGTGAGGCAATCGAAATGATTCTGCATCTGTCCCAGATATATGCAGAATTCTACTACCCTTGTCATCACAGAGAAGGATAGAAAATTGTGAATATATAAAGTCTGTTTCGAAGTTGTGGAGTTACTTGACCTGATATGCATATGGACAATAAATTGTGTCCGAAACGATGTTATCCAGTAAGTGCTACTGTTTCACTGTGTGATATTTCTAATCAACAGACTAATATGGAATTTCAATCACTAAGGGTTGACTTCATCGGAAAGAAATACTTCACTTCCCTGAAACTGTCTCCGCTGGTAAAAATTTAAGGAAACTGATCCTTTCGGAAAGTTTAAACAACCTAATACGAAGATGAAGATTATCTAAAACATGTTTAGTGTATTAGCGCTACACATTTCGAACGATCTAATGATCACAAACGGATTTGTGGAAGTATTTGTAAGAAAATTTACCTAAAGTGTTATTTAAGTCAATAGGAAACATGGGAATAGGATCCGATAAGTGTAGGTGACAAAAATCCACCTTCATCTATTGCTAAACATATAATAGAAACTAGTCATAGAAGAGAAAAGAAAACAGCTTTTCAAGTGTTACATAACATTGGTCAGGGCCAAATACTTAAATTTATTGGAGCTCTTACAATCCATCCCGACCGATAGCTGCTACCTTGACGTGGTGATCGGGCTTGCATGTAACAATGACCCAACGAGCTATACTGGTGGAACACTTGTTCCCTCAAGGTCCTACAG